GGTTCTCCTTCCCCCCTCTTCTACTTAGATATAACTTTATGATAATAATTTTCTTTTCTAGTTTACCATTCTGGATTGGCAAACTTTTTCTGAAAAGGGGTAAATTGTAAATCTTCTAGGCTTTTTGTACTACTTCCTGGTTTTATGTATGTATATATATTTCTGCAGCCCTTTATAACTTAAAAGAGGAGCCTGCCAAAAGGTTGCAGCTCTTAGTTTGCCCTAAACAATATAATGTGCATTGTGCCCATTTGTAAATATCTAAATGAAATTATGTCTTCATTCTGCTGTTGATGGAAATTGTAGCTTTCTTTGCCAATATAAATAATGCTCTTAAAAATATTCAAATCTTTATATGAACAAGAACGTTGTCTACGATGTGTGTGTGTGTATATATATATATACAGAGAGAGAAATGAAGTTGCTGGGTCTTAGGGTGTGTTTTTGTTTTAAAGTTGAGAATCAAAAGTGTTTGGCATATTCTCAGAGTTTTGTCTTAAAAATTCATGTAAATTCTTTCACTTTAATGACTTCTTTTTAATTCTTTGGTGTCTAAAAGGTAAAAGCAGGTTCTTAAATTCAGATATAATCATATCTTGCTGAGAAAATCATCCAGCTTCCATAGGGTTGTTTGTTTGTTTTTTTTAACATTTTTAGTTGTAGATGGACATAATACCTTTATTTAAGTCTAGGGGCTCTGATTTCTGTAAATTTTACCTTTCTTTGAAGGTAATTAGAGCGTATTTTATTTTTCTCTGGTACTTCATGATAATGTGTCTTTGGTGTATGGCTCTTTTTCATTCATTGATAGACTAATATGGCATTAGATCTTATAGGTTGAACTTTGTATCTTGTTTTGGCTATTATGATTTTTATTTTTGTTCTCAACTATGTTTTCTACGAAGTGTTCCTAAATATCCTCCTCTAAATCTGTTATATCTTTTATTTCATTCATCAGTTTTAAATTCTGGGCCTTGTTTTTGTTCCTGTTGGGTTTTTTTGTTTGTTTTAAATTGGTAGTCAGGCATGGTGTTACACACATGTAATGCTAATAATTCAAGAAGCAGGCAGGAGGATCGAAATTTCCAGGCCCATCTCGGCAACTTAGCAAGACCCTGTCTCAAAGTTTAAAAGAGCTGAGGATATAGCTCAGTGGTAAAGTGTCCCCATTATTTATCAGAAATATATATATAAAATACACACACACATATTTATTTTGTGGTAAAATACCTACAATATAAAATTACTATCTTAGCCATTTCCAGTGTATGTGTAGTGGTTAAGTACATGCACATTGTTGCATTGCCAGTCTCTAGAATTCATCAGATAAAACTAAAACTGTATATCCATTGAGCTTCTTCCTGTTTCCTTCAACCCTTAACCCCTGGCAACTATATTTCCACTTTGTGTTTCTATTGACTTCTCTAGGTACCTCAAATAAATGAAATCATACATTATTTGTCTTTTTGTGACTTGGTTTATTTTACTTAGCAGAAAATCTTCACTTTGAAGCGATATAAGTACATCATTCCTTTTTGTTTTTGTTTGTTTGGTAATGGGGATTGAACTTAGGGATGCCTTTTCACTCTGCTAAATCACTAGCCCTTTCTTAATTTTGAGACCGGGTCTCAGAGTTGAGCTGGTCTCAAACTTAAAATCCTCCTGACTCAACCTCCTGAGTCTTGAGATTAAAGGTATGTGCTTCTGTGTCAGGCGCTTCATTCTTATTATTGCCAAACAATATTCTGTTTTTTAATATACCACATTTCCCCCCGCTTCATCAGTTGATGCTACGGTGAATATAAAAATTTTTGTATTGGCTGGTGTTGTGGCTAAGTGGTACAGCTCTTGCCTAGCATGTGTGAGGCACTGGATTCTATCCTCAGCACCACATAAAAATATATTAGTAAAATAAAGTTATTGTGTCCAACTACATCTAAAATATATATATATTTTTTTTTTTTAATTGTGTAAACCTTTTTTTCCCCTGTCTATATGAGATAAGAGAAATAAAATCAGGTGTGATTTTATTTCTCTTAGGTGTGTATATAGAAGTGGAATTGCTGGGTCATATAATTTAATTTTTTGAGGAATTGCCAGATTGGTTTCTAAAGCTGCTTCATCTTTTTTACATTGCTACTTTCAATGTATGAGAGATCCAGTACCTCCATAATCATCTCCAATATTTGTTGATTTCTGTCTTTTTTATTATAGCCATACTAGTAGGTATATATGGGTTTCTCAGGTTTTGATTTTCATTTCCCTAATTGCTAATGATGTTGATCATCTTTTTCATGTGCTTATTGGCCATTTGTACATCTTATTTAGAAAAATGTCTAAATGTAATTTTGAATATCTGTTTATTTAAGGATAATGAAGACTTGAGAGTTAGTTGCCCAGTGCCTGTAGAAGATGAGCAAACAGACTGTACTTCTGCCCTGCAACTCAGTATGAGTACAAGTCCTCCATGTACAGCTGAGCTTCCTGCATTAAGGTACAAGTTTTAGTATAAAAAATCTTTAGCATGACTTTTTCTTCTCATTGGTAGTTCAGTAGTTCTTGTTCTCTAAATCCAAACTCTTTTTTCCATAGCACAACTCAGAAAGAAAAGGATCCAATAGAGGAATCCACTGTTCAGAAGGATGTTCTCAATCAGATGACTATACCAGTTTCTTCCCCAAGCACTGCAAAGACACCACGGGCAAATACTGCTTCACCAAGTAATAGTAACACAAATGCATCCGGAGCTATGACCATACAGGTAACTTGGAAGAGTTTAGTTTTTGTTAGAAAAAAATTTAATAGATTATATATTTTTGGAAGTAGCTCAAAGTAAGACTGGCTACATCTGAAAGAAATTAAAGGAGTTAAATGTCACTATGAAGAAATGGAAAGTTTTAGTCATGTTGAAGAGTGAAGAATTTACTATTCAGTTTCTTTGGGTTTGTTCGTTCGTTCTTTTTCTTCTGCTCATAGCAGAAAAGCATCTCATCCAGGTTTTGGTAAATTTGCCAGTTTGGGGCTATCATAAAGAGATTTGACCCTGTTAAAATTCATCTTGTTGTTTATGTGGCACTAATAAGTCTTTGAAAGCCATTAAGGACTATTCCTACTTGTATTTCAGTACCAGAATCAATTTCATAATTTTTTGTATTATTTTTTTAGTTGTTGGTACATCTTTATTTATTTATACATCTTTATTTATATGCAGTGCTGAGAATTGAACCCAGTGCCTCATACATGCCAGGCAAATGGGCTACTGCTGAGCCACAGCCCAAACCCCCTCAATTTCATAATTTTATGATTGGGAAAATATGGGGTGGGGGACACAAAATTTACCAGTAATATTTTCACTGATACAACTAGTAGCATTTTAGCACAGTTCTTTATTTTTTATAGAATAGTACATTTTATCTTAATGATGATAGTAGTAATGTTAGAAAAGTATGATTTCTGCCATACATGTTCCTTCTCAGGGTTCTTTATACCAAGAGGAGGGGTTGGATCCATTTTATTTCATTGCATATATATTTCTTAAGTAAAATAATTATATCATGGATCAATTTCTAAAACTTTTTTTTTTTTTTTTTTTTTGTGCTGGGAATTGAACCCAGGGCCTTGTGCATGTGAGGCAAGCACTCTACCAACTGAGATATATCCCCAGCCCTGACTTCTTTTTTTCAACACTTTTTTTTTTAAGTTTATAATACTAATCACTTTAACAGCATTAGTGTATATAAGAATATCTGTTGCCCTTACCTAGAAAGTGACTTATGTTTTTCTGTGGTTAAAATATCCTTTTTTGTACTTTAATGTGTATTGTAAGTTTTTTTTTTCCCCTTACCCCTTCAAAAGGAACCTCGAAAGTTAAGTTATGCCGAAGTGTGCCAGAAGCCCCCTAAAGAGCCAGTTCCAGTTCTTGTGCAGCCACTACGGGAACTTCGCTCCAATGTTGTGTCTCCCACCAAAAATGAAGAGACTGGAGCTCCTGAGAAGTCCATTGAGAAATCACATGAGAAGCCAGAAGCAAGGGCTAGTAAGGATTATTCTGGCTTCCGAGGCAATACCATTCCCAGGGGAGCATCTGGAAAAATCAGGGAACAGAGACGCCAGTTTAGCCATAGGGCTATACCTCAGGGAGTGACTCGACGTAATGGCAAAGAGCAATATGTGCCACCCAGATCACCAAAGTAAAATCAAAAAGCAAAACTATTCAAAAACTTTCTCTCTTCCCATTAAACTTGAGCCGTGGCTATATTGAACTGTTTTGGAGGGGAATGGGTAGCCAGGAAGGAAACAAAATATATCCTTAAATCATTATGGATTTTGGAATTGTGAGGAGTAGAATCCCAAAATTCATCTCTAAAGTGATTTTAAAATGCTGGAGGCTTCCAATCAGTATAAATACATATATATATATATATATAAATATATATATACACATATATAAAATATAATTTTTCTATTTTTGTTTTTGATTTTAATTTACAAAGATTTTCTGCCTGGAATCAATTTTGAGTGTTCAGATTTAGCTTGAGAAATTAAAACAAAACAACAAAAAAAGAAAGCAGTATACATCCTTCAGTATAGGAGATGAGGGAGTAAGAAAATATTTTTTGAAGAAGCATTTCTGTAAAAATTAGAAATTACTTTTTTTAATCTATTTAATGTTTGGCTTGGAGAATGTCATCTCTGATTATATGGCCTTGTGTTGCAGAGCAGATCAGTGATTGGGGTGTCTGTGGTTGTGAGTGTGTGCAAGAGTGATTTAAGCCAAATCTGTTGTCATATTAGTAAATGATTTGAAAACTGAATGTAATACTTGAGTAGATTTTTATTCTAGTTTGAATTTAGTCTGTCTTTTCAACTTTATTAATATTTCATTCTACAGACTGTTAAGCTCTAATTGTACTTGGAGATGTGACTACCAATCAGTTTGATACTCAAGGAAAGAATGGGGGCTATTCAAAAAAATTCAGAAATTCATCTTGGACCTGAAATGATAGGTCAATGGATTTTAAAGGTTTAAACTGCCCTGGGATCTGTTGTCACCCCTCCCTTCACCTTTAAGATGGGAAACAAAACTTTTTTGCTATTTCATTTGTTACTCTTTGTTTTTTGACTACCTACCCCCAAAAGTAAAATAACCAACCACCTACTGAATTGTATGTTTCTGTACGTTTTAATTAATCCAGTCAAATCGTATAACAGTTATAAATTTGGGGATTTAACACTGAAGTATTTTATTCTGTTCACATACTCAGAATTTTAGGTCCCAGAAAGGTGGGGCAGACTGACCCTCCAGTAATATTTTGTTTATTGTTAAAGATTAAACAATTTAACTGACTTTTTTAAAGTGTTAAATAGTGTAGAAGAGAAAATTTTTATAAAGGCTTAATTGGGGGGGGACTTTTTTCTGTTTGCAGTGATATCTATCACCTTGCTTCCTTCGTCTTGAAATTTAAAAAAAAAACAACCTATATATATATACAGTTTGGAATTCACTGAAACAGAAACAGCAAGTCAAAAGATTTTTATAAGGTGATAAAGATGGTTAAATAAAATTGATGCAGAATTTCTCAGTGAATAAAATTGTAGCTGTCATATATTAAATAGGCAAGTTTACATGCTGGTATTTAGAAAATGGCTAAAATATTAAAAACCATGTTGCATTAATCTGTTTTTTAAGTCATACCATGTTCAGAGTTCTATGTAAGGTGGGGTTTTAATTTTCTTCTTAGGGATAGTTTGTAACAGGAAGAACTTTCCCTTATGTTAGTGAGTTACATATGTACAAATTGAAACTGTAAATTGTGAACACTGGAAAGCACCATTGTGGCATAGAATAAACATCTTAGTAATATATTAAAGTGAATGTAAATGGAGGTTAAAAATGTTACTGTGAAACTCCTTTCAATTCTAAGTTAAGCTTTGGAGATTTGTATTAGTGGGTAACTGTTAAGAGCTTTGAAAACACTGCACATTTCTGTACAAGCCAGAATTATTATTTCTTTGTAATTTATTATTTAGCTTGGCAGTTGCTTTTGATTTGGTAGATTGATAACATGGTATAATATATTTACACAGTTTGAAACTTTTCTACACACTATTTTTAAAATCAACTTCTAAAAGAGACATACAATAAAATTTGCTGAAATTTGGGGGGAGTTTAGTCCTTTAAAAAAAAGTTTTATTAATCATTGGCTTACATCTATGATAAAAGTGCTTATTTTGGTTTACTTACATAATGCTGCAGTTGGTGGAAATGAAACAAAGTGTTAACCCCCTGTGAGTGCATTGGAATTAAAAGAATAAACATTTTGTAAAAATCACTTGGTAAGGATTATAAGCTTAATTATTGCACTTAAACATTACTCCTACTACTTTTTTTTTTTAATATATGTCAAAGTTGTAGGCTTCTTTTATTCGTATGCTTATGTGACTTTTTAATTCACCAACTCCAAAAAATCTAAAGGGTTATTTGTTTCCTGGTACTCGGGATTGAACCCAAGCCTTGCACAAACTAGGCAAGCACTCTTATCACTGAGGTATATTCCCTACCCCCTAAAGGTTATAATTGAACACAAGAAAGGAGTTCTTTTTAAAGGAACCAATCATATTCTTGCTTTTTTTCCAAATGTAATCTAAAGTAAAAAATGTTAAAGACGTGACTTTTTTTTTTTAAGGCGACATGACCATTTTTTAATTTCTTTAAATATAGTGTTTTTTAGTTTAATTTGCCTTGTTACATCTAATCATTGCCATTTGATGGCATGTATAGGGGAGAGTGTGTGTGTGTGTTTGCATATATACATATATATATGTAATATATATATTCACAGAATGTATTTAGCATTTATTTTATTGCAACAGGTTTAATGTTTATATTACGTGATGCCAGTGAGTTGTGTGAAACTGTTGGCTTTTTTACCAGCATTACTCTTAACTGATGAAGGTGGGTGTTTATTATACTTAACTATTTATTGCTTCTGAAGATAGAATGATTGAAGTCTCAGTTTTTTTCCTCCTTTTCATCCTTTTGGCCTAACATTTCCTTGAACTGCTGGAGGCTGAAAATAGATAGAATTATACAGAATGTTTGATACAGTAATCAGCCACAGTTCTTAACTGCATAAAGACCAAAAGTCATACAAGTTGATCACTTTGTACTTCATGTAGAAGGTACATAGAGACATTGCAAAACCTGCCTCCGTTTTCTACCTGATAATTAGGACTTTCATAATATCTAGGAACTGTCTCCAATCTTGATCATCCTAGTTTTGCCAGATATAGACACTAGCATTTAAAATAATGGTCCAATCTAAATATTTTTCACCCTCATTTTGAAGGAACATTGATCTTTGATAAAAAGTAGTTCTTGTCTCTTGTGATTAATTTGCAGGTGATCAATGACAAAAGAATTCTAATTTATTTTTGTTTCCTGCAGAGATTGGGGAATGCATCTAGGTGGTAGAGCTCTTGCCTAGCATAGCAAGGCCCTGGGTTTGATCCCCAGCTCTTCGAATTAAAACTAACAAAAAACAACTACAACAAACAAAAACTAATTTATTTTTAGTTCCTAAAGTTTCTTAACTTAGTTTGAATATTGTTTCACATTGCTTTCCTTTTTAAATAACCACACTTGCTTTACAAAAGGTTTAATAATGGAATATAGTCTCTTCACTAATGTAAATGAGAACAAGAATATTGCTGGAACAGGAAGTAGTATTTAAAAGTTACTGAATATTTTCTCTAGTTTTTATTAGTTATGGCCTTAATAATTAATTAGTCTTTTGGCTTAAATGTCTACTGGTTTACCTTAACACAGTTGAAAAACACTGGGGTTAACACTCTATTTGTATTGGCAATATATATTAACTATATTTTAAAAGAACTAGGTTGGTCTTTTTTTATGGAAAAGGTAAAACTCAAAAAGAGACAGTGTACTCCTTTTGAGGGATTTATTAATTCTTAGATATAATATATGATGGATTTTTTCCTCTTTTATATATATATTTCCTTAAATATGATGGCTACTAGTTCAAATTTAGAATTTTTTCTGCATGTTTTTGTAGCTAGTCTGATCTTTGAAGAAGACGTGGACATTTCATTTCATTTCATTAGCTGAATGAAGACATTTTAAATTAAAAGAAATTTTGTTTTAAACTTGAGAATAAATTCTTTTGAAAATCACCTGATTATTAAATGATTTTTATTTTTAAAGATAAGAAGTTTTTATTAGTCTATGGTAGACATCTCCTAAAAGTGCAGCTCAGATATCTACAGGTTGTGTATTAAATATTTTTATTTTCAGTTTTGTAGCACAGCATACTGATTAGTATATGTAAAGAATTATCCATATCAACCTTATTTTTTTCCCTTTTAAAAAAAGAAACTTTCAAATGTCCCTTGAATGGCATATCTTAAATGTTGGGGGTTGGGGGATCAGAACCATTTATCCGGCTTTCTAGATTGTCCATTGCTTAGGTTTGTTACTGTTGTCAGAATTGTCCCTCCAAAAAATGGTGACACATGCTCTTGCATAAAATGTTAAAATATGTACATCCTTGTATTTGTATTTGTTTTCAACGTTGCCAAGGTGCTATGGGAAATTAAAGTAACAATATTAGAAAAAATAATAAAATTACTAAAAAGCAGGACTGGTTTTGTTTTCTCCAGGTGGGGTATGTCATGACTACTTGAATTTACTTTTTAATCATTTTATGTTTTGCCCACTCTCTAGTTCTCTGGTTGTAATTTCATGTTTTTGATTGTGTATTTCTTTCTGGAGCAGGGAATGTGGAATTTTATCTTCAAAACAAGGGTAGAGAACTGTAAAGTCTGTTTAAGATTCTGGGTGTTTTTTGTTTTGTTTTGTTGTCTGGTGCTGAGAATTGAACCCAGGGCCTTGTGCATGTGAGGCAAGCACTCTACCAACTGAGCTATATCCCCAGCCCACCTCTGGGGTTTTCTTGAGTATGTGGGGAATATAAAGAAAATTTAGCTTTTTAGCTTCTTTTTTTTCCCCTTAGGCAAAGACAAAAAAGCTAAGTAGATCTCAGGCATTTGAAGAGATGTCATCTGTAAATTAAGGTGATAGTTTGACATTTATTGAATATACTGTATTGCTAATAAAACAAATATTTACTATTTTGTTTGGGAGGGATTGTGGGAAATGAACCCAGGGGCACTTTACCACTGAGCTTCGTCCCATTCTCATTTATTTATTTTAGAGTCAGGGTCTTGCTAAGTTTCTTGGGTTGGCCTTGAACTTGTAATCCTCCTGCCTCAGCCTCCTGAGACATTCGGACTTCAGTCATGTGCCTGTAATGTAAAAATAATATAATTTTTAAAACAACCATATCACATAGAATAGTATTTGCTGGGTGCAGTGGGGCACACCTGTAACCCCAGAACCTTGCGAGGCCAAGGCATTCAGATCACAAATTCTATGCCAGCTCAGCAAGTTAGATCTACCTCAAAAAGGGAAAGGGTGTGGGGGGAGGTTGTTTCTCAGTGGCAGAGTGCTTGCCTTGCACGTGTGTGAGGCACTGAGTTCATTTTTCACCACATAAAAATAAAAGATTGTGGGGCTGGGTTGGTGGCTCAGTGGAAGACTGCTCGCCTAGCACTGGCGAGGCCCTGGGTTTGAACCTCAGCACCACATAAAAATAAGGTAAGTAAAGGTGTTGTGTCCATCTTAACCTAAAAAATAAATATTTAAAAAAAAATTGTGTCCATGTATACTAAATAAAATGCTTTTTAAAAAATTATGGGGAGAGGCTGGGGATGTGGCTCAAGCAGTAGCGCGCTTGCCTGGCATGTGTGGGGCGCTGGGTTCGATCCTCAGCACCACATAAAAATAAAAATGTGTCCACCGAAAACTAAAAAAATAAGTATTAAAAAATTCTCTCTTTAAAAAAGGGGGGGGGTGGGGAAGTTAGGGGACCTGGGTTTGTAGCTTAGTGGTAGAGTATACCTCCATTAAATCATGAATTCCACTATTAAAATGTTTGTAATCAAGTTCTAGACTAATCCCAAATAAGGACTTCCTAATGTTGCCTGATCTTGCTAGAGAAAGCTACACACTTTTATTTTTTAGTTTTAAGTGGACACTATTTTTATGTGGTATGAGGATTGAACCCGGTGCCTTATGCATGCTAGATGAGCACTCTACCACTGAGCCAAGACTCCAGCCTCCACAAACTTATGTTTTTTGAATTCAGTTTTAGTAGCTGTTAGGGGTTTTTTTGCGGGAGGGGGGGCGGCAGGTACCAGGGATTGAACTTGGGCAATCAACTGATGAAGCTGGATTTGAATGCAATCTTCCTTTCTCAGCATCCCAAGCTGCTAGGATACACCGTGCCCGGCTTCACAAGTCTTGTAACTTTCTGTTCTTCTCTGATTTCTCTTGTATACCTACTGTATCAAATTTAATGAGCTACATAGTAAGATTCCAGCCCTCCCAATATTACATATCTTTGTTTATCTTTGTTATCTTTGTTTTTCTCCCTTTTTGGGGGGTGTGTGTGTGTGTAGGATGCAGTACTGGGATGGAACCCAGGGGCAATATATCCTTCCCCTTTCTTTTTTTATTTTTATTTTTTTAACTGAGTGTTAAGTTGCTGAGGCTGGCCTCAAACTTGTGATCCTCCTGCCACTGCCTCCAGTGATTGTTTTTGTCTTTACACATACTATTTTTAATTCTTTTTCTTGCGTACTGTAGATGAATCCAGGGCTTTGGGCATGCCAGGCAAGCACTCTACCACTGACTGAACTACATCCCCATCCCAACATGCATTTGTATTTTGAATGATGCATTTAAATCTTAATTTTGATTTGCATTTCAAATTTGCATAGATAAGTAAATATCAGTTTGATTTATCAACATCAAAGATATGACTTAGTACTGAAGCTATTTAATCAGTGTCACATGCTGATTTTCCAAGTAGTATACTGGGTAGCAAAAATTTGATCCCTGCCCATATTGTATTTTCAAAATAAGAACAGATTAATAAGAAATAATTTGAAAATTGGAGTTCAAAGTGGATTGAAGTTGGGAATGGTACAGGGATACAGTCCTTTGAGTTACTGAGAACAGATCCCTGAAGGAGTTAATTAGATTGGGGGAGGCTGAAACCAAATGATACTTGATGGATAACACGTTTTCTATGATGAAGCTAGAGAAGGAGGCAAAAACCAGGCTCTTGGAATTTTTTTTTTAAGAGAATTTTTTTTAATTATTTATTTTTTACTTCTCGGCAGACACAACATCTTTGTTTGTATGTGGTGCTGAGGATCCCCAACCCCAGGCTCTTGGAATTTGAAATATATATTATTGAGAACTTGTGGGAGACCAGGTAGGTTAGGCCTGATAACAGATGTAGCAGAGTGGGAGAGTTGAATTGCAAAAATAATGCAATCAACAGGGATGCATATGGATTAGATGGGGGAAGATAAACTAGTTGTGTGGCATGTACCTACAGAGTTTGAGGCTATCCTCAGTGACCTAGTGACATCCCATTTCAAAACAGGAAAAGGAAGGTGTCAAAACTGACAAATTTGTGATGTGTGGAACTAGATGGACGTTGGTGCCATTTACCGTGATTGTATTACATTGCAAAGAACCCTTAGGAGGAAAAAATTATGAGTAGTTTTGAAATGATTATGCTTGTTTCTGCAGGATTATTTTGTGATCATGACTCAAAAACAGTTTGGTTTTTTTTTTCAGGTAATTTAAAAAGTGACTGTTAGGGACAGTGCTAAAATTTGTTTTTAAATCTGTTCCCCTTTCTCTATAGCATCTTAGTTTTTGTGGAACTAGGGGTAAACACAGGGTCTAACATATACTAGGCAAGAATTCTACCACTGAGCCATATCCCCAGTCCAATTTTTGCATCCTTTGTCTCAGTAATAATCCTATTTCCCACTTGGACTGTCTTCACCAACCAAATGCAGAGATTTGACAGTTTCATTTAAGATTTATAATGTTGCCAGACCTCACCAGTAAGGTTAGCCACATACTATAGAGGGAATGTTAACCTTTTCATAACCAGAAGAAAACATTGACTTGCCATTTTTCTGGATCTCTAAAATAGACTGATTTTATGTCTGTAAGCAAACCAAGTATGAACTAGAAATCATGCAACACCAATAAATATGACTTGGAAGATTATAGAACTTGCATGTCTATCAAACCTTTTCCCTCTTTGTTTTTGTTTTATGTTACTGGGGATTGAACCCAAGGGCATTCTATTGAGCTAGATCCCCAACCCTTACTTTTGAAATGACCTTGCTAGGTTGCTAGGCTCATTGCAAATTTACAATCCTGCCTCAGCCTCCTGTGCATCTGACTGCAGATGTGTACTGATGTGCCTGGCCCCAATAAACCAAAGTCACTCAAAAACAGGCCTGCCTTTTCCAAAAAAGGTCC